GCCACCAAGGGGGAATTGGGGAATAACCGGCCTAAAAAATAAGGCAAAACATAATGAAATTAATTAAAAAAAAAATCTAAAAAAAGAAAGAAAAAAAAGCTTGCAAAATTAAAAAAAAAAAAAAAAAAAAGTTTATATAAACTATCATTAATATATTTATGTGTTTTTTTTGCAGATACGAAGATAAAAGCTTGCCTTTATCAGGACTTTTTGAATAGTGCATAGTTGTAAAAAGATGTTTTGCTACAAGTATCTCTTTATTTGAAAAGTTTTATATTAAAGCAATTAGATGATTTCTCTGATATTCTTCTTTTATTATAACATTATTAGATAAAGATAACTCCTAACCCGTAAGTTCTTTTGTTATAGCATTATTAAATGAAGATAATTCCTGATCTATAAGTTCTTTATTAGTTACAAGAGATAATGATAATTCCTGATTCGTAAGTTCTTCATTAGTTAAAGGAGATAATAATAATTTCTGATCCATAAGTTCTTTATTAGTTACAGATTTATTATTAGATAATGATAACTCCTGATCCATAAGTTCTTTTGTTATAGTATTATTAAATAAAGATAATTACTGATTCATAAGTTCTTCATTAGTTATAGGTCTAGTATTTAAAAATTCAAATAATGTAGCAAGCTGCTTTTGATTTATATTAGCTAACTGACTTGTTATTTGCTCAATAACTTTACTATAAGAAGTATTGTGATGTTTCTCTAAGCTTTTTTGAGCTGCTTATTGATTTTGATAACACTGTTTATATGAGTTATAAATTCCTATTTTAGTAAATTTATTACTAAATTTAGATGTCAAGATCAAAATTCATATTATTTTGAGGCAATCAAATTTGATAAATTAGTAATTGACCTAAAAGAACAAAGTTACATTAAAAAATTTTATTTTCTAATATAAAATTTCTTATTTGCAATAAATATATCTCTTTTTTAAATAGTAAGTGAAATGAAGTGGATTTTTGTAGTGTTACAGAATAACTTTATAATGTTATACTAATAAATTTGTAGAACAATACTTTATAATTTATAGTTTATATTTTAGATATAATTCTAGTTAAATTTGTATTATATTAAAAATTATA